AAATAATATCTCATAATCAAAAGCGAAGCCCATGTAGCTTCGATGGGATATATCAGTCAGACTTAGGCGATCCGTCAGCCGCGGTTGAGATATGCATATGTATGGAGTTTCGGTGCGTTGTAACGTGCACTGTAAAAAAACACTTTTAAATAAAAAGAATTTGAGGGGTTGGAAAATCTCAACCCTTTTATAACGGTCACGTGACCTGACAGGGTTGCAGTGCGAGGAAACAGGCAAGCGACACGTGACCCTCAGACTTCGATGTTTTTAGATACGCGTGTCAAATCCCAAAACGCTTCGGCCCCGCTGCCCGCACTCATCTCACTCCGGTACTGTCTATTTTTAAAAGCCGGGTTTCACTTTCTTTCGGGGTGCTTTTTACGTACCATCAACATCTTCGCACAATGCAATCGGGGTGCGTCAAACTGTAAATACTCCTTTCCATTTAGGATTGTGGATCAATTTTATACATAACAGATCATATACTTTATGGGATGGATTATGTATTGTCTATCTAAACCCACAAGCTGGATGATTTTTATTTAAAAATGGAAAATGCTATAATCCGAACATTACACTTGAAACCATCACTTGACAAATGATTCGATTTATTTAATATTCTGGATTTTTGAAGAATAAAATTTTCAATGAGTGTTGGTTTTTCCGAAAACCGAAAAACAGTCGCAAATTCATCGAATAATAATTTGCAATTTATTATTGTCGAAAGAGGTGAAGCGGTTTGAAAATGGTACATTGGAGTTTTTAGTGGACTTAGCGGTTCTCGCTGTCAATAGGAGGGATTGAAAAGTGCAGGGATAAATGCCACGCAGAGGGAAAACTTTTGGTGAATTGAAAAGAAAATAGAGGAATGCTCGAAGGAGAGAAGGGGTCATGGACCGTGTCCCCAGCTAATTCTTTTTCCCTCGGGAATATCTTGCCCGTTCTCCCTTCTTTTTCCTTTTTGTCACAGTGACGTCAGTGAGTCCAGCCACGGGGTCTTGGCAAATCGCGGAAGACGCGCACGTTAATGGCCTCGTAAAAGTTAACGACAATGTTCCACCCACGAATTCTCCACCTCCCATTTCTAGTTGGTTCGCGTCTATTCTGTTTTGTCCTCTCTTCCTAACCTTATACCCTCGGCCACCCATAGATTCCTGAAACCGGCGTCTTTCTAGAGAAAAGGACGCGTTTCACGTCCTAAATTAGTGGCTCGGACGTGGAATTAATTTCAACAGGCGTCCAATAGTAGTTTGCCGCACGGATTTGTCTGGTGGGATCTTTATAAGCCGTCCAAAAAGCCAGCAGCGAGTAGCCAAAGTGATTGTATCGGATATCCGATGGGGATCGACCGAGGGGTGCCATTAACCAACTCCCTTAACTGGCAAAGAAAAACTTTCCCCCCGGACATTGGCAATTCCCGATACTTATTTTACACTTGTTATTGCCAATTTCCTGGATTAAAATCTCAAAACAAGTTTTCTTTAACAATTCCTAATCATCTAGTCCACCGAGGAAAGTATGATACTCTCCAGGGGCTATTCTCTCCCGAAATTATGGCACCAGTTTCTGATTAAGTCCATCCTTTTGTGGTCAAGTCATTGAATTCACTGATGGCACATGATTCCGGCAGATGTGGCCACTCTATATAATAATGCAGCGTAGAAATATCAGTTTTCAATATTATGATAAAAAATATCACAACAATAATTATTATTGGTCAAATTTTATATAATATCGTCAAAATATTGCATATATATCGGGAATATTATTAATAAAAATATCTTACACTTGAAACATTATAATTCAAAGGTTTTCTTACTTTTGGTATTTTCCTGCTGCAATATTTTAATCCGTTCTTTTTGCATTTGATTTGAGTCTTTTATTTGTCGTGTTCCCTTAGATTTGAATTTATTTTTGGACTGTACTTTTTGTCATAGCATTTTTTTATTATACATTTCATGTTTCTTTCAATGACTTCACTGTCTCTAAAATCATGTCATGTCATTCTAAAATCATTGAAGTCAAAATCGAAGGCACTACAATCAACCCTAAAATCACATGAACTCAACTCCATTCCGAAGTGATATGGTCTGACTCCATCAAGAAGTGAAGTAGCTCCTGGGCTACTCCCATTACTTAATCTAATTTAATTGAGAACTTCAGTTGCCAACAATGCCATATCTTTTCGTTCAACTTACAATAGTCTGATTAAAGTAACACTCCTGGTGAAGGGGTTGAATGAAAGAAAAGTGTGGTTAATGCTCCGTGAATTTGTCGAGTCTTTATCTCAAGCACAAGGAAAGAAATTGGGAAGCCTTAACCCAACGCATCTCTCCGTGGGCACGATAATTGGAAGGGGTGCTTAGCATATTTCTGGTTCTAATCACAGACACCAGTCGCTAAGTAAAGGGTGGTTTAAAGTCTCTCTCCTCTCCTCAATTTCACGTCCCTCCCTCACCGGCCTCATTACCACCATCTTCATCGCAGTGTTCTGTGGCTGTGTGGCTGTATTGCTCAAGCCCAGAGCCATTGGCTCTGCAACACCCCTTGTTGTATTCGAGATAGAGCTTAGGGAGCTACCAATCTGCTTACAAGCCCCTTAGCTTGAATAATTAACAGCGGGACTAGAGGAGAGGGGTGATCCTATGCGACTTTTTGCCGGTGTCATTTATTACAAAAACCACCTTGTTCGTTAACACGCTATTTGATTTTCAATAGGTATTTGAATAGGATTAACAACAGGTAGATTATTCACCCGGATTTATTTTTTCAAGATTCGGTGATTTGTCATTCTGTTCCTCTAAGATATTCCACCGAATCTTCATTTTTTGTCTCCGTTTTCGTACCTTTACTTATTATCATATAGTTTCATTGTAATAAACGATTTATTTTTTTTTCAGATCTACCCTTACTGTTGGAAAGTCACACTTGAAATTTGAATTTAGAAAACTTGAAATTTATAACAACGAATTTTTTATTAGCTAAACAATTCACTTAGTTAATATTCTGGTATGAAAAACGCATGACATGAAAAAAATAAGAAAATGTTGAACATTTCGGCAACAAATTCCATTCACACAACGAATTTTAAATGTATTAACAATTCAATTGTATTTGATCTTGAATAAGTGAGACTTTCATTGAAAAATCAAAAGACATTCAATATTATTAACCAAAGTTTCTTGAAGTTCAAAGGATAATGTGAAATTTAGTGATCGTTCCAATTGAAATCGAATGGAAACTCATATAATTGATAATTTAGATGAGTTTATCACTGACATTTAATTAATTCTTCAATGATGTATTCGTGAAATTTCCTATTCCATCGGACTAAGATTGAGTGGCTGAGTTTATGATAAAGTCAACCCCAGAATTTAAACTTCTTTCACTTTTTAGACAGTTATTGTATTAATTTTTAATCTAGTCGACTGTCCAATCGTTATCTTAAGCTCTGCCTCCTACCAATCTATAATTTTTCAATGTGTAAATTTAAAATGTGTAAATAATGTGTAATTTTTAAAGGAAAAGAATAGAAATACTAAAATAAATTTAGCACAAGTTAATTCAAACGCTTCGATATAAGAAGTTAAAGGATTAAGTAAATTGCGATAAATTGTAAATACATGTCTGCCAGATATAAAAAAATGAAAATAAAAAACTAACTTTCCATTTAGTTTGGGTTTGAATCTGAATAAGGATACCCTTAAGCTATTTTTTCCAAGATTCGATCATTGATCATCTGTAATCCGCCACAACTCAAACAAACTTCAATTCTTAGCCCCCAAACTACCCCTTCTAATCATCCTGTATTTTCATTATAATAATGTTTTTGTCAACTGTCTAAACTCATTACTCTTCCAAAAGGGTTTCATCCAAACAATCAACTGGATTGTCATGGGAATCACAGGTCATTAATTCACCGATCATTAGTCACACATCACAATCTTGTACAAAATTCAAACGAGCATAGAGTACACAAGCATTCACGCATACACCTTCCAACAGCATCAATGCACATAGATACGACAGAAATATTTATCAGGCATACGATGGATTCTCATAAACTGTTTGCACTGGCAGGGAACATTGTCGTGTGTGCAGCGTTTCATTTGCCTAAGCCGTGAATATCAAACGACGTAAATTCGTCAGGCTGATTTCGTCCATGCAGCGAGGATTAATGGTAGTTCTGAATATTTCATTATTGGGAAAATTCCCATTTGAACACTCGATGTTGTTATTTGAATGTGCTGAGTGGAAGATTCGGTATAATTGTATTTACTCTGCTTAAACGCGTGGCGTAATTTTTACTAAAATTTACTCTGATGTTTTCCTTAAATAAATGCGAAGCCCCCTCCCACTCCCCACATACCACATTAAATGAAAATTTGAGAAAAGAAAAGATGATTTTAATATCATGGGGAATCGAACCCTCAACCCTTTTATATGTCATAATAAATAAAGAAATTTTTTTCTAAAATGCATTTTGTAAATTATTAAAATTAACATTTTTAAATATTTATTATTAAGAATTAAATATTAGAATTTTTCTTGGCGATAATTTTTCCGGGGATATTTTATTCGGGATATTTTTTCCGGGGATATTTTTTCCGGGGATATTTTTTCCGGGATTTTTTTTCCGGGATATTTTTTCCGGGGATGTTTTTTCAGGGATTCAAATAAAAGACGCAGTAAGACAGAATTTCACAAACAAATCAAAGATGAACACAAAGAACCAGAATAAAATGTCAGAAATGAAGAGACCATTGAATTTATCTTTGAAACCAAATACTTCAACACTTCAACTTCAATGAAGAATCATCATTTTTTAGTTCATTGAAGCTTGCAGAATATTAGTATCATGTAAGAAATGAACTCCAAACTTTGTTTATCGAGTAGATGGGGGAAACCAAAATCAATGTAAAATTGTATGCCCCCCATTTGTACATTAATTTCATATACACACTCATGTATTTCATAACATTGACAATTAATAAAATAAATAAAAGTAAAATTACAATTTATTTTTTTCTAGGGCTTAATTTAGTCCTCTTTATTTACAACATAATTATTCAATGAATGTTATATAAAAGCTCAATAAAAGCTTCTTTTAAGAATAAAAATTTTGATATCATGTTTTTATGTGCTTTGGATTGATCCTGGGAGTGGCTGCAATGCTTACAGGACCGATGAAAATCCAAAGACAAAAAGAGAGCTTTGGCTGCTGTCTTCTATTGAAGGCTAAAACGCTTAATTCGCTGATACGGATTTGCAATTACTCTGATTTGTCGGGTGTCTGAGCTTGCGCCCATCACCCATCCAAAAGGGGATCAGTGAAACGTTACTTTTCATTGCTAGGGTCGTTAGGTTTATTACAAATTTCAGAGCCATCCGGTTTCACGGTCCGAGCACTCTGTGACGGATTATAACCTTCAAGTGGCTGCATGGAATTTGATTAATTTTGGCGGGGTATTAATATCCTCTCATTCTAATTAATAATCCAATGGTTGGTGATAAATCTGAGGAATGCACATCAGACGTTTCATTTTCAAATTTATTGGATTGAGATAGCGGAAAAATTGTCACTCATTTCTGAAAGCTTTCATTTTTTTTTGTTCATAGAATTAAGTAAAGTAAATTCAATCCGTGATACCAACACAAAATCGTTAATTCCCAAGCGCGATGACCTCCAGCTATTTCCTCTTTTATCCATCCCATGTGGTGCACGCTCACTGCGTAAGTACAATCGCTTTTGCTCCATACTATATTAAACCCCTACAGGTTGGTGAGGGGTTGGAGAAAGATCATTATCAGAGGCTTAACCACGCGAGAATTTTTAATCAGAGGGTAGACCAACCCTTCGCTATGAAGCCACGCTATCTCTCTCTTCAATTCGGATTCGTATTTCCAACGATGATGCGTATGATAATTGTCACGAGGGTTTATCAAATTTATTCTCATGTAAATAAAACTTACGGTGGCAATATTGAGTTATTGCTCAATTGCAAGAGACACCGCCATACGCCGCAATTCCTTCTTAGACACTTTTCCTGTATCTGTATGTGGAATTTTATCCAGAAAAATCACACCTCCTCTTAGAGCCATATGATCTGGTAAATGTTGAGACACCAATTCATAGATCTCGTACTCAGTCACCTGCAACAGAATATGTATATGATTTTTCATCATTCCAAATTCAGATGTCAGCCAATCAGAGCAGTATTCGAAGCTCTCAGACAGTTTTATTTCCCGAATTTCTAAAAAATTTCTACTGAAAGATATTCGAGTATCCCGCAATATTTTTGGTACATTACAGTTGCGTGTGGGTGCCTCAACACAAAAGCCATTGGGTGTTCAGCATCTGTTAGATCCGGTTTCGCTACCACAGCAACTTCTAAAACATCAGGATGTTTCAGGATAACTCGCTCTATTGTACCAGGTATGATATGGATATTGTTTCTGAATTTTATCAATTCTTTCAAGCGATCAACAATGAAGAAGTCACCATCTTCGTCGTAATATGATAAATCACCAGTGCGAATCCATCCTGAAATAAATAATACATTGCATATACCTGTTGTTTTACTTATCCGTCTATATTACCTTCTTCATCAAAAGCGGCCTTGGTATTCTTATCGTCTTTATAATATCCTCGCATCATCCCTACATGTTTGACATACATTTCTCCCTCTTGATTGGGTCCCAATATTTTTCCATTCTCTGGATCAACGATTTTGATTTCACAGTTTGGAGCGATTTGTCCGCAAGACATGAGTTTTCTATGTCTTTTGATACGGGCGGTTACATAACCTACTTCTGTAGTACCTGCATAATACATAATCCATAAGACAACACCCCCGAAATTACTTAATGAGTCGAAAAATATTCATATAATAATTCATCTCTCTCATTACCGTAACAATTAACTATCACAGCATTCGGATAAATATCCCCCAGGAACTCATCCACTTCTGGGATCATACCGATTCCAGTGAAAACTACCATTTGCACAGATGAAAAATCGTAACTTTTGATCGCTTCTACTTTTGACATTCTAGCTGCAATCGCTGTATTTGATGTCATCATGTTGGTGACCTACGGGAAGAAATTACAATATTAATCGAATTCGAATTGGTGTATTTCTTTTTTCATTTAATTTATACATGATTCGTTATTTCTGATTGGTCTCCGCATATAAGGGTCAGGAAGGTGAAAATAATATATAGCATCGGGTGGCGAATAATAATTCCAGGACCATGTAGAGATCAGATAATGAAGTTTTCAATGGATATTGTTTTATTCCTCATTTAGTGCTGAGGGTACTTGAAGAAATACGTTACCTTGTACTTTTCCAGTATTTGAGCAATGATTTCTTCGGTTAAATCAGTGCGAATTACAGCTGTAGAGCAAGAAGTGATGGTCCAAAACATATTGGATATTCCAGTTGTCCAGCATATGCCAGGGGCCCAAAAATTGATCTTTGGCTTCTCAGAGATGGGATCCACGATGAGAGTTAATCTTCGATAACTAAGGAGAGCACCTTTGGGGAATCCGGTGCTTCCGGATGTGTAAGCAATCCAGGCTGGTTCTTCAATATCTTCCAGAATGTTGGGTTGAAACTCAGAAAGTTCAGTCACATTCTGGGCCTTCAAGATCTGAGAAAGAGATTCGAAACCCGGGGTTTCCTTGAAGGCAATGATCTTCGCGGTAGATCCAACCTCATCGACCGCTTGTTTTATGATTGCTATGGTCAAATCGTCAGCGAAGATTATCTTTGGTTGCGTGAGATTCAGAAAATATTTCGCCATATCTGGGAAGAGCAGAGATACAACAGGAAATAATGCAATTATATTATCTCCACGCAGAAAAAAATATTCAGTAAAAATTACGGAATGTTCACGTAATTCAAATGACATTATTTCCCGGCAGTTTTATGGGAGTCGAACGAAATGAATTAATTAAACGATTCGGAATTTCTAGTTCATTGCTGAAAAATGTATAAGATCGTTACGTAAATGTTACAGAAAATTCTTCGTAAAATTTCCCATGCGTCGGGGAAAAATGACGAACGGCGTAAAATGGCTCCCAGATTGGTACAATTTGTGATCCAACTCATACTTTTCATTGAACTTCATTTCACTCCCGGATTAGCGTTCGAATTGCAATTTTTACTTTTTTTTTGGTAAATTTTCAGAGATTTGTATATTCGTGAGAGCATTGCTAGCTACCATCATCCAAAACTGCGTTCCACCAAGGATTTATGATGTGCCCAGCGAGAATTGTTGCAATTACCGGGACATACGTATCCAGATGATTATAGGTGCATATTCCGATTACATCGTCAGACTTGAGCTTTTGATTTTTCAACCAGACGGAACATCTAAGGACTCTGTCTGTTAAGTCTCGGTAAGTGTCTTTCCTATCGGTCGCAGCATCGATCTACAATTCACATACAATTAGATTTGTTACAGCCTTTTAAAATTTTTATTGAAGAATTTCATTACCAACTTCTTTGATTATGAATTGCATTTACGGCGGAAATGTTTTTGCCCTGTTTATTAATGTTCAGAACAGGTAAAAGATAATATCATACACGGAGAGAAATATTTAGTAAAAATTACGGAACTTTCAGTTCACTTACCGATTACGGAGTTGATTCGAAAAATTTAAGTGACGGTATCATTATTTTTCACCGATAATTCAGATTAAAATTACGGAATACCGCGGAAAAATTCCGTGACTTTAGATAAAAATTACGTGACAGTTCCGTAAAATTTCCAACAACCACATTTCGCTTCAGAATTACGGAAAATACACGTAATTTTTATTGAATATTTCTCTCAGTGTACATTTGACTTGAACAATGGTTTAATGGAACGGACAATTACGAAAAAGTATAAGCCCTCCGGAATATGGGATTTCGATCGATTTTAATTGAGAAATATTAGTAAGCACATAATTTCATCTAAGGTAAGATTTCCCGTCAGATTCATATCCAGTTGGAAATTTATTGGAATTTAAGTTAGAATGTCGTCTTAATTTTTAGTTAAGCGAATTTGGATCCAACTTTAAATGAAAACATTCAGTAATTTTCCAATTATCTTGGAAATTCAAGGAAATCAGATTATTCATGTTTAGGATATCGAAGCAGTTTCGTCAAAGTAGCAAATTTTTTTCGAATAATATTCTAGTTTCGGGGGAAATTTTTTTTTTCTGATTTTTTACGATTGAATAGGTTTTTGAGAATTTTGCAGATCGTATATTGTGAAATGGAGTATGCAATTGTTATAGACATTACATGTTGAATTTAAATTAAAAAAAAATCTGAAATATGTTTGGTTGTTTTTCTGCGTAAAGCAAAGCTTTCAGTCCATTCTAAAAACTGTAAAAAGAGTAAGAAAGCTCAAGTTTTTAAACCCATCGTAAAAATTAAAATTGAAATGCAATAAAATTTTCAATATATGAAAAATCACAGAAGTTATCGCCTGAATTTTAACTATTTTCATAGTTTGTCTGCATCGGTTTTCATGGATCAGAAAATTGAGAATTACATAAATATTCACGAAATTAATTGATTCGTTAATGAAGAATTCTCCAGAAATTTCATGCCACTCTATTACGGTAGAAAATTTGAATTTTTTTTTGCTTGAAAAACTTCAAATGTCATTTTCCAAAAGTGTAATAAATTATGGACATTACCTGAGCGATCCGATCCGGAAATTTTCTGAGTCTCTCCAACAATAAATGCCTATATTGACACCAATGCCTTGGAATTTCAACCATTCCTTTCCAAATTCCATTATGATAGAGTGGATCTTTCTAGAAACGTACGATAAGTTGAGATGAAATAAAAAAATACCGAGTGATTACTCACAACCAAAATTTCCATTGAAGTTATCTCCTAACAATGTTTTGCCTTCAAATGTACGACTATACGTTCAACTAAAAGGTCACAAGCGAACTTTCGTTGATTATTCCCGAAGTTGAGTAGAATGAGTACTAAATTTGCGTCACAAAAATGATAAAATTTTATTATGTGCTATTAAGATTACAAAGTGATAACTAGTCTTCATAAAAGAATCCAATAATAGTCTTTGAAAACATTCATTAATCTTGATGAGTTTTGAATGATCTATATATATTTCTACAGATATTATCTATAGATATTATTTCTATAGATTTTATTATAAGAAAGTTTTCTTATTCTCACACGTGAAAATCATACATAAACATATATTGTAGATGAAGACTTTACATTACATGAATAAACCTTAAACTTAAAACTTGGAAAGCCATTTCTTATTTTCAGAAAAAATCTCTCAATTTCACTTTTCATGTTTTTTTTTACCGATTTCTGGCGAATCGTTCTGTCGATCTGATTAATAGTCTGCCAGACATCTTCAGAAATTACCAATACATCCGGAGAGTCCAGATGCTGGTAAAGGACTTAATGTAAAAATAATAGATCTTAAAGGAAATATAATGAAATTCAAGACCCAGTTTAAGAAATGTTTTTCCCTTTGACGAAAATGGTGGATCAATTCGTTGAAAATTTTCGGAATTCTCGCCTCGTTACCCCATCTGTCACCGAGCACTAAACCAAACGAACCGTACCTCAATTTCAGTTTCTGGAAGATAGAAGGGTAGAAGCCCTCGATTAGCATCATCTTGAGACATTCCACGTCACAGTGACTACCTCCTCTCTTTACCATTCATATGCAAAGCCAAATCGAATGGTGACCACTGAATTTGCATAGCGTTAAATTTTCTGTGATTTCCAAGGAGACTGGCAATATCCCCCTGGTATGAATCTGGTCACCATTCCGCATTGTGCACGTTATATACTCCTAAATCTGGAGAAATCCGACAAGATGTATCAGAGGTTTCGGCACCCTCTTCCATTGAATATTCAAGTGGCTATAAATTCAATGGAATAGCTAGTCGTTATGTATAAATGATTTGGTCAACAAATAAATAATTACCAATAGCAAATATCCATAACTAACTTTGAGGCTACTAATAGTCCATTACCGCGCAACCCCAAATAATTAAATAATTACTGAATTTTCTTACAATCGGCAATAAATCGACATCTTAATAAACCAGTTCTTGTTCATAATAATCAAAATCCAATCTATAAAACTTCAACGAAGAAAAGCTTTTGGGTAAAATTGGAAGATATTTTGTTTTGAAAAGTGAAAAGTTGATTTACAAATTGGTGAGAATTGCAAATTACAGCTCAAGTGGTCAGTAAAAGTGAACAGAAATTTGGAAATTTATAAAATCTATATATTCTTGAGTTTTATGTTGATTTGATATCGATTATACTGATCGTTAAAAGAGCCGATATTATTAATTCAAGTGACACTGAACTTTACTATATGCTTTCAATAAAAGGTAATACACATGAAGTCAGTTACCGAGAGTAAGCTTATTTCTCATTGGCCATTACGAATTATACTCATTTCTCAGTGGTCAATCGTCTGTATGCTTACTATAAAGTCTCGTCCAAAAGTTCCATGTGTGGCTTTAGATTAGAGAAGCCATGACATTTCTCAGAATAATTTGTCATCAACGTGTTGCAATTAAGACCGTAGAACTTCATGATTAATTCTGATTCGGTGAGCTTGATTTGAGTCTGAAGTTTGCTCACCTGTAATCAGTTCGATCAGGTGCAGATGAAGTGGGCCTGATCTTATACTAAGGTCCGTTAGTCTGCAATTATTCGAATCAGATTCTGATCAGGTGCATCTGACCTGAAATCGAGGAGTCCTGCAGTCATTCTGATAAAGACCGGTTTCATTGCGGTCGCTATCCACTAAAGAATTAACTGGCTTCAATAAGAATCGATGTTCATCTATGAGAAATGCATAATTGTCCGCTGATCACTCAATCGGAATGATACGCCCATAGAACATCCTCAAAGCATAATATTTATTAGTCGAAATTAGGTTTTTACGTTGGTCATATATCTCGTTCCGAATTCAATATTTTCCCTGAGGCATGAACGATCTCGGTGGTTTAATCCCGAGGATAAACATGGCCCTCTTCTTCTACATGTACATGACCCCATAGCAACACTCTCCGTTAATACGTTGGCATTCAGTGCCACCGAGGAATATCCGCGGAGCCGTGAAACTCGGCATTAACAGAGGGAGAGCCCTGGCACATACGTGCCATAACAAATGATCGTCTCCGCTCCCTTAATGGTTTTCCATGAACATTCAACTTCTACTTGGTGTATGGCGACTCACGGATAAATGTCGCCCTTTGATCGATTACCTTTTGTCACACCACTTTACGCACTCACTCGTTGGGAAATGATATTTTTTAATCAAAAGACTGTCCGCTCACTTGTTCTCCATCTCATCAGGAAGATAGTCCTCACGATTTAAAGTCCCAGTCCCAGGGGGAGGTCGGCTTAAAACCAGCGGGTTTGAGTCATAATACTCTGGCAGTTGGATTGACGTTATGCAGAACTGACGCTTATGTAGGTGGCGTCCTCTGGCTCAATGGGATTCGGATATGTATACTGTACCAGGAGTGGGTCTCACCCTCGTCTCGTATAATGACCACTGCCGATCCGGCTCTTCCTGGGGTGAGCTCACAACACACATACTTGGAGGATGCTATAATTAAATCCGTTAATCAAGGCTTACGATAGTGAGTGACCCTATCAGCTTCAGTTAGTGTGATAGGAGATTCAGACCGATTGCTATTTTCCATCTATTTCGCTTATGAGTTTCCGGGATTTTTCACATTTTCCTCCCGAATAGAAGTATAGTCCTCCTCCAGTCTGAAATTGATGATCTCATTAATTTCACACTCAGGAGTATAAATATGTGATTTTTTGATCATGCCTGCATATATTATATATTCTGTTCATCATTAAATGCAATCAAATTTTTAACGAATCAAACATTTGGGGGAATTATTGCCTGATTTTTAAATGCATCTGAACTTCGAGAATATTTAAAAAATTAAGTGATTCGTCAATGAAGAGTTATCCAGAAATGCCACGCGTCACTTTGTCATAGTTGAAAATTTGATTTTTTTAACTTGTAAATTCAAGTTTAATTGTCTAAAATTGTAGCAATCTGACATCGTATTCATGTTTATGCAATTCTCAATGTAGAAGTTTCAATTTGATATCACTTTTTTTCGATTTACCGTGAGCAGTAATAGTCAGGGAAATCCATTTACAAAAATTTTCAGTCTCCCAAATGACGAAACTCAAGTACCATCGCTGGAGCAGAAGAGGACAAGAACCCAATGGTTCAAGTGTAATTGGCGCTGGAGTAGCTACTCGTCTTGCTTCATTAGAGGAAATATCTTCCCCATTGTGAAGAGCTTATATACCCATGTTTCCGTTCACCCAAAGACAGAATTATTTTTGTTTTCAAGTGGATACGGTCACTCGATGCCTCCGAATCTCCCCAGCTCCAGGGCAATACGATGACTCCCCAGTTTTTGTCCTTTCATTCCTCTTTTATTCTCCTATCTGTGAGTTTTTCCATGTTGGTCTGACTGTCGCTTTATTTCGAAACGTGGAAAAGCTTGTGACAACCTAATCTTTTCGAGTATCGTTCTTTTATTCTGGGGCGGTGTCAAAGGAAAAATGGAGACATCTTGAAAAGATATGTTTTTGCCCCAGCCCTTTCCTCTGAATTCTATTAAGCTATTTGATTTGATAGCAGAAAGAGACAATAAGTATTCATTTTTTAAGAAACTAGTCAGTCCGACCAGCTATTTTCCATGTCAATGAATCTCCATACCCAAAAGAAAATTGATTTTTAGGTAAAATATGAAAATGGGAACTTCACGTTTACATCCATTCATTTAAGGAACGGATACATTGGCATGGAAATCATTTCCCAGAACTTGGATAATCAAAAAATATATAATCATATCCTCCCAAAACTGTTTTGTAGATCTAAATAATCGATATTAGGTTCTGATCCTCTGAAATTAAATACCAGCTTAAGATTGACGACCAGCATATGTCCCAAGTACATTCAAGAGTTTAACTGTACACTTGTATTTGAAGGATGAGAAAAAAAATAAACCCATAGAAACAGAAACATAAGCAGTAAGAAGCCACAACACCCAGTATTAAAATCTCCTCTAATGACCAGCATGTTTGCCTACCACGGAATTAGCCGCAGAGTGGACCTTCACCCTTTCCAAAAACACCTTTTCTCACTCAAGAGAAGATGTGAAACAATGGTAAGAGTCTCAAGTGGATTCTGGTCAAAGCTGAATCGATTCAACCGAGCAAAAGAGGATGCTTCTCCAACGTTTTATCCATGCAACTGCTCAACGAAAAGAAACTCCCGAAGATACTTGAAATAGTGAAGGCGAAAATATACGGGCACACCTTTTGTACATGAGGGGAATTGTGTGGAGAAGAGGGCTTCACTCGTATGAGTGCTTGCGTACACATTTTTTCAAGTTTTGAGATGCCGGCTGCATACTAGGGCAGGGAGAGAGCACCTGTTGAGAGAAATACCAGAGTTGAAATCTGCTTTGACCATTTGCCAAAGCGAGTTGTTACATTCCCATGGAGTAACAATCCTGTGATTACATGAATAATGGAATTATTCATTTTGTTGTCAGTCCACATGGCAATTATAAATTCATAAAGGTTTTGTGGTATGGAGAGATTTTATGTGATTATATACCTGGGACAAATTGGAATGAATGGAGTATGGAGTAATTGTAATGTATTCATTTGAATCGTCATATTCTATATATGTAGCACAGATGGAATCCTGCTACTTACTGTAAATACTATGCCAAATCCTCTTCACATGTACAGAAGAATTGAATGAAAATTACTAGATAAAGAATTTGAAATTATGAAATTACGTACGAGCTGTAAGCCGCGAGCCAAATTAAATTCAATAAAAAGTGGTGGTTGGAAGAGAAATTGTACGAATCATCCGATAA